GCGATGTCAAAGCTTCCACCCGACTCGGAAGCAAATTGCAAACTCTATCGCAACTTTTATTGCCAAGGATTTGCGTCCATGAGAACGAGGGCTTTCGCGCTATGTTGCACACTTTGGAGCCAAGATACAGCGTCCCGTCTCGAAGATATTTTACTGACACAGCGACACCCCACTCTCTACAACCAGACCAAAACCGAAGTTATGCAATCACTGAAGAAAACATGTAGGTTAGCTGTAATGTGGACACCCAATGCCACGGAATCTTATTGCACCATAACAGCAAGAGCAGTGAAAGAGAGCCTTCCAGTTGACTTGCCTCATGGCTTCCGTTTGATTTATTAATAAAAGAAAATTCATTATGGATCATTACAAATTTTTTGCTGTAAGAGTACCAAGTCCCCACACAGTGAGAAAAAAAGAAATCCTGTATAGAAAAAAAAAAGATGCATCAAGATGCATCGATAATCATTTTATAATCGCATCGCAGCCCTCTGAATCGTAATTGAATCGAATTGTGAGGTACCTAGAGATTCCCACCCCTAAGAGACATGCTCTAAAATCTTGTAGAATACTTCCCAAAAGAGTTATCGCAGCAAAGAGGGGACCAACTCCTTATAAATGCCTATGGATTTAGAAAGGAATATCCTTAAAGCTCCTGTAAGTGTAATGTGTAGGTGTCCCAATACGTTTGTGCATGTTAGTAAAAAATAAATAAATTAATTAATTAATTAAAAAATCCATCCATCCATCCATCATCTAAACCGCTTATCCTTCTGGGTCGCGGTGGGGTGCTGGAGCCTATCCCAGCTGTCATTGGGCGGAATAAATTAAAAAATGAACAATAATAATAATAATAATAATAATAAATAAATATATATATATATATATATGGTATATAAAGTAACCAGTGTGCAAAGCTGTTCGTTTTATTTTTTAGTTTGTTACTTATATATGAAATAAATTTTATGGGAAATGGGTCACATATTAATACTAGATACTATTATATTGTTGTAAACGGTTCTAAAATGGCTGTCATGCTCTAAACAAACCTTACACTAAATAAAATGTCATTATTTGCTTGTAAGTTATACCTACTGTTACTAGACAAGACAAAATGACTAATATGAAGGGAGCTGATGCAGTCTCGTGGCAGCATGCTAAATAGAATCAAATGAGCCTTGAGATCATGCGTATAGGTCATGATCTGATAGCAGCTAGTTCCTTTTTTCCATAATAAAAAAGTCTTATTTTTCAGATAAATATGAAAGCAAAAACAATGAAAAGACAAATTTAAATAGTCTCTTTGGTGGAAGTTCGACACTGCAACCAAAATCAAAATTATGGCCAAACCTTGTGTGAAATGAAACCGTCCTGTCCTGCTCAGCCACTAAGTTTTGAATGGAGTAAAGTGATTATCATTATAAATGCTGAAACTGACTGACTGACAGTGCCTTTCCACACTGTCGCACTGTCATGCTTCTGTGGTTCGACTGAGAAAAAGAGAGATTTGTCATTGAAATGTGTTTTTTCCTTAAAATAAGTGTTGTACTTTCCTTTCAGACTTTCAAAATGTAAATCAAGACTAGTTTGTAGAGGGATACTCACATAAATATATGCCATGTGGGTGTATGGCATGGGGATATCGAACTAAAATGTAGTGAAATTATGCAGCACACAGAAATAGCCAGACTTCGTCTTAAAGGAATACTCCAGTGTTTTTCAACTTTATCGCTACCGGCCATGATTGATTACCGACAATACAACAAAGACAATAAAATAAAGGCAACAAAGACAATAAAATCAATGTATTACTCTTTACTGAACAAAAACCTGTTGATGCAGCACACTCATAACAGAACCCACTGGATGGTTGCTGAATTCCGACAGTAAACAAAACCCATATTTTTAGTATGACAAATATGTAAATCTGTATAATTTGTAGAGATAACATAAAGGTATTAATGGGCACTGGGATGATATAAATGCTGTGTCAGATATCACAAGGTAAAAAAGAATGAACTGGATCCAATCTAGCCTAATAAAGCACACACTCATCTTCTGTGATGTGATGTTTTTAGCTGTGCATTTCTTCTTGAGGGGTAGTGTTTGTGCTTTAGGGGTAGCTTAGTCATTTTTAAAGGAAAAATATTAGACCAGTGTCTGCACCAGCCAATACTCAATGTTTCAATATTAGCAAAGATATAAAGTTAGTTTTTAATGGAGACGAATTTATGTTGTACAATACTATCAATGTGGTGGTGGCAGAGTTTTCACAGGCTCCTGCCTGATCATCTGTGGATAGCAAAAAAGCAAAACAGGAAAGACCCGAGTTGCTGAGTGTAATGGTTGTAGTTTCAAATTTGTGTTATATAATGTATTCCAAAGAGGTTTTTTTTTCACAGAATTAAGCAGCTACCCAGTGACTTCTGTTTTAAGTAGGAAAAACACTGCCTGATAAGCACAGTCGAGCCTCATAGCCTTGGTAAAATCTGACCAGCCATTTGCCATTTATGACAGAAGGTCCAAGGGGATTGCAATTGGACTGTAGGTGTCAGTCTCTGTTTTTCAGTGTAACACTGACTCAGACACAGCATCCACAAAGTCATAAAGAAAGTTGTGTGGATACCATGTTCCTCCTGCAAGTGTGCTAAAGCATTCAGCAGAGTGCAGTAAGGGCCAACCCAGGCAGAAGAATATGAAAAGTAATGTTGTGTAACGTAATAACAAGTGAGACTTGAAATTGGGCATGATTAAACGAGTGAAAAGCTATTTTAAAAATGAACTTCAAACATTAAGTAAAGGCCATTTGTCACTGTAGTTTGCTATTTCTAAAGCAGAATTTCAAAACCCTCAGCCAAGTAAGCTGCTTGTCAGATTTTTAGTATGTGCTTAAATTTTTTGTTTCAAACAAAATGCTAAGGGTGCAGTGTGAATTGATGATTAAGCCATACTTAATATTTAAAAATATGTTTTCATGTATTAAAACATAGCCTTCACTTTTGACTTATTGCATTCCTTGGCTCTACACAGGACTTGGATTATCCATATTCATATCTTGGATGTGCATATCTACATTTGGTGACCTTTTATGGGCATTCCCACACTGCTAATAAATTTGTGATTACCCATTATATTCAGCTGAATATAATGGGTAATCACAAATTTATTAGCAGCGTGGGAATTTTTTAAAAATCTACAGATCTAGATGAGGTGATGAGTACAGGCTTTAAAAAATACTAACAAACGATGTGTTTCATTAAAAAGAGAATCAAAAGATTCTAGCTGGCATAGCTGTGTTTTCAGTCTAGGATAGTATAACTAGCATGTCTTAACTGCATGTAGTGATGCGTTGAATAAGTACGGTATATTACTTACAGATTTTGAAAGCATTTTTTTGATGCGGCACTACTATTTTGTTGGTCAGTTCCACGCAATCAAATCTAATAGGATAGGATATGAATATATGTATTGTGTATTACATTTGTATTATGAAAACATCTTCAAGTATTGTGATATTGTATTACCACCACACAGTGGGTAAAAGAAACCAATCTGTCTATTACATTTTATGGAACTAATAGATGGCAAGATTGAGGAAAAACTTCAAGGTCTAGACAGGCCTTGATTTCCACGGGGGTTAACAAGTTGGTTTAAGAGGAGAGATCAATAGTATAGCCTGCTTTAATCTTCTATTGAGCGGATGGTCAAATTGAATGACAGCTAGAACTTATTCCACAGGTCTGTCCAGACAAGAATAGGCTCTGGCTGCTCCAACCATCCATCACACAGTAGCTAAACATGGTCTATCCCCTATGCCCCCCACATGATGACTGAAAGGTTAGACAAGGCTAGAGTGCTGTGTGGGTAGCTCAACAAGGCTTGCAAACAGGCTTGTTAAACTGTATGCTCCTTTAAAGCTCATTTTAACGATAGCTGGTGGCCTTTTGGTACTGTATGACAGACTACATGTGGCACATCCGGCCATGCGGCCTCTTTGATCCTTGTACACACCCAAAGCTCTGCTCACCATCAGCTTCGGCAGATGTTGACCACTCACTCACTACAGCATGTGATGAAAATGCAGTAAAAATGCAGTGAATAAGCCAAATCGCTTAATAGTGGGCTGTCTGCTAGCATAACAGTAAACGGTTAACAGACTAGAAGGGCTATGTATTTTTTCTATATACAAGCTGGCAGCCACAATATAATTTGCATAGCCCCGGTCCCAGATGTGGGAGGTAGCCCTAGTAAGTGGCCACTACGAAACGTCTCGCCCATGGGGCAACGCGCGCTGTTTGCTAAACACGCTCACATTTGCTCGCATGCGCTCAATAAAAACGACACTTCCAATTTGCAATCGGCTGACTTGAACACCCCAGTATTTCGTAATTAATAATTCAAAACGAACCGAAGTCCCACCGGCGGCAAGCCCAATTTCACACTCTACTATCTGTACAAAGCCGAGACAAATAGCGTTAATTCTCCGATCATTCCTCATCGACCCCGCCACCGCGTGCCGCAGGTGTCTGCCTCTCGGTAACGACGTTGGCTGCAGATGAGAGGCCAGTGGGATGTGTTTTTTGGTCAGGAAAATGCTCGGCTAAAGCCCTGCGTGACGCCTCTTGCCCAATCATGACAGAAAATCTACAGCGAGCCAGGATCTCCTTGTGCAGCAGCAATGGGTGCTATGGGTGTGGAGGTTTGCGCGCAAAAAGGGGGGAGTAAAAAACACCCATAACGACAGCGAGATCAAATGGCCGCGCGGGATGCCGCATGTTGGTCTGATTCCCACACAATTCATATTAACTCGTAAACCAGCTTTGGGATTCCACTGCTGATGCGAAAAGCTAGAGAACGACGGAACCATCGTCAACGCGCAGTGCTTCGACTGATAGTCCAGTCATCCCCAGCCTGTCCAGTTCAATGTTGTTGTAAATAGCTGCGCTCGCGCCCCCCATCCTAGCAGATATCGTAGTGGATGCAGAATGCGACGGTTTTACCTCTCTGCCATGGTCCCACTTCTTTTTCTTCCCCGTTAAAATCCACTGAAAGTAATCCACAGCGCGCCAGTCATGGTGGTAGGGGCTCGGGCACCGCAGTACGGATCTGGAGCACGCGCTGTCTCTCCGCGTCGCCGTCACCACCGACAACCCTGACGTCATTTTGCGCTCGGCGGCGAGCACGCAAAGAAGGGGAACGGCCGTTGCCATGGCAGCGGTGCAACACCATCGTGGTTCGCCGCATGCTTTTTCAGTTTTCTGTTGAAGTGCTTAAGTCTCAAGTAATGTTTATTCCAAATAATATTATTATAAACCCTGCTACGATTTTAGTCTGATGAGGGCCATTTTCGTGTTAAACTCACGTAAACGTGATTTGTCTCTGATTAAGTAGTTTCATCTCTACATGCTTATTCCCAAATTTCAGTATTCATATCCATTCATCTGGGCTTCCATGTACCTCAAGACTTGTTTGACCTTTCTAAAAGATGCGCGCCAGTTCAATCTTTTTAGCTCACTGTTAATAGACAACAGCTCCATCTAGCGTTACGCAACTGAATTCAGGTTTTGTTTCCGCTGTACAGATTCTGTTTCAGTTAACCGACCAGACTAAATAAAACAGACCGTTTTCATTTTTAGGGTTAAAAATAATAAGCTCATCATTTTAAGCAATACATTTTTATGCAACGTGCCTATGGTGTCATTTTTCAAGCTTATTGGGAGGGTGGAACTACTGTTTAGCGTCCTTAGATTCCTCCCGGTGAAGAAAGCAGTGGGAACGCACCGCTTGAAAACATTCCACAGATTTTGGTTAGCGTTCATTTTGCTACCCGAGACCATGGCCTTAGCCATTTATAACCTGTACAGCTAACCTGTAAGTCATGCTCTGCGGTCCTGTTATGAGTGTAGTCTGTTGTGGGAGGAGAAACGGTACATGGCTTCGGGTGGCTGTGCGCGTGACCGCGGTGTTTTGGCGAGAGAAGGCCTCCTACACGCAAGGACAGAGTCCGGAGGCGCGCATCCGCGAGTATTTCTACTACGTTGATCATCAAGGACAGGTAGACAGCCTACATGACAAAGTAGATTCCTCTACTTAGAATACGCTCTTCCCCAGATTATATTACTAATAATAGCTTTTTTTATGCAGCACCTTTCACACAAAAAATGCATCCTAAATTGCCCCACAATTATATTTAAAGTTTCAGAGTAAAACAGTGTAAATAAAGCAGTGAGGAGCAAGCATAAAATAAGAGTTTGTGTTTACTAAAAGGTCAAAGGAAAAAAGAAATAAAAAAAGTACTGAAATAAAAGGAATATTGAATTAAAAGTAAAATGATTAATAATCTAAATTAAATTCGCCAAAATGTTGTTATTATTATTATTATTATTATTATTATGTCTTTTAATGTTTGGAATACATTTTGGAATGAAGCGAGGCATATGAAATGTATCTAACATTTTTAAAAAGCTATGTATTTTATCATATAGGTAAATAAAAGTTTTTAAATAAAACTATAAAAAACCTATAAAAGGTGAACTAGTAAATGCTAAACTAAATAAAAAGGTTCTCAGACACGTTATAATAGTAACAGTAGCTGTTTAATTATTAATAGGTAAAAAGTTCTACATCATTGTTGGACAGTAGCAGAAACCTCCTTCACTAATCTTTTTGTACTTCATCTTCAAAACATTCAATATGGCAGCACTTGATCTTAGGACTCACTTTGCAGCATAGAACATTGTCAGGCAGTCTGAAATGTATGAAGAGACTACACCATTTAAAATGCTAGGTATAAACAGGTATAATTCTGTTTAGTTCTTTCTCTTTTCTGTGTTAATTCTCTTGCTGCCGTGTCCTGAACAATTAGTTTGTCTGTTGTGTATATTCATATAATTAAGGTCTTCATTCATGGCTAACTGAACAACAAAAAAAACGTAATTACGTAATTCTGTGTCTTTACCAGCTCTTTTTGGATGATACCAAAGTGAAGAACTTTGTCACTTGCTTCAAAGGTATGAGCTCCCTTTCTCACCTCACACACACACAAAAACATTCAGCAGGAATTTTACTTACTGAATGGATATTTTCTTGCGTACATAGCTTCAGACTGAGAGGATGTTGTATACCAAATGAGTCACCCTGTGACACCTGAATGTGATGTCACCGAGGCCATATTGTCCCGTGACTTACTGCAAACTTCCTCAGTGACCTGGATCTTCTTGCTCACTCCAAGTGAGCAGGAACCCTGACGGTCATCCACTGCTCACATAACCACAGTTACATTTGTAACGTAGTGTTATGTTTCATATCTCCTGATCACCAGGGGTTGTACTTACTGAGTGGATCACAAGGAATGCATCAGACACAGCCCGTGACATGGGACAGGTTAGCGTCAGGTCCAATGACGCTGCCACATTGACAATATCGAGAAAAAGTGCAGGGTGCAGTGTAGGGCTGCATGATAAATTTTATTTTTATCGTTATCGCAGTATGAGTTTTCGTGATAAACACATTGTTAGAGCGGCGATGACAGAACAGATCTAATTACCTCATACACGCAGGGCCAGAGAGGCGTCATTACATTACCAGCACAAACCATTACAAGCCTGCTTCTGTGCTGGGACCCTGCTCTCTGCATATTAACAACTAGTCTATCTTGTGCACTTTCACAGTAGCGGAGGCTTAGCACTTCAGTACCCTGACAGAACATAAGAGCTGTCTGACTGATCAGTATGGTGCCAGACTGATAGACTGCTTAAGAAACCCAGGACTGAACACGTTCAGCAGGAAAACCAGTTTCAGCCTCAATGTCATATTCGCATCATCTGGACAACACTAGAGACACAGGGGGCTGACCAATAATACATGTAAGGGCCTCAGCATACTTCCTAAGAAGACGACGTTCGCATGAGAAAACACACACCCGCAGACGTCGCATGGTTTACTCACTGTGTTGTGTATATGGCAACTGGGTGAACACAGGCGACGACACTACTTGACACAGCCTGTGTAAAAAGAGGTTTTCCATGAAAAGGAGTCAATGACAACAGCCCGTAAAGGATGAAAAGTTTTGAAACTCAGCACTAAGAAAAGTTGTCGGGCTGCACAGTCGTTCCGATATCGAGAAGAGAAAAGAAAAGTTTGCATGGAGTAATGGGATAATATAGCCTCAGTGACATCATCACAGGGTGACTTGTTTGGTACACATGCTTTCAGTCTGAGGCTGTGTATACAGGGAAATATCCACTTAGTAAGCACCACCCCTGGCAGTCAGGAGATGTGAAACATAACTTGCAGTGACTACTGTGTCTCTGTCACTGAATGTTTGGATGGACTGTGAGCATGCCTTTGTCTCTCTAGGTCTACTCCACTCAGGGTATGATGAATTACAGCAATATCAACACTGTTAAAAGTGCTGGCTCTTCAAGGGTTCTTTAGTAAAGAAAATGATTTATATAGAACCATAACACTCAAAGAACTTTGCATGATTAAAGGGTTCTTTGCATTATTAAATGGATCTTTAAATTGATAGATAATATACTGTAGATGGTTCTACATAGAACCTTTTCAAAAAGGGTTTTATATAGCACCAAAAAGTTCTTTTGTTACGGTGTTAAGCTTGTACCAGTAGACAGAAAGAACTCTTTCACAATGAAAAGAGCCCTTTAATCATGCAAAGCGTTCTTTGAGTGTTCATTTTTTCTATGTAGAACCATTTTTTTTACTAAAGAACCCTTGAAGAGCCATGTTTTTTGAGTGTGTAGCTGCCAGCTCTTGTTGAATATTGTCTGGGACATGCGGCCTATGTGTAAATTATGAAAGATGCAGCCTAACTGTCATGTGTATTATATTCCTGTAATATAGATTCTCATGACTTCTGAGTAGTATTCTCACAGGTTCATAGTTTAGTGTTAATTATTTAAATAGAAATGAGATCTTTGTATTAATAGGTGCATAAATTGTAGTCCCAGATGTCTCATTGTTCTCCAGGGTGTTCTCAATGTTCTCTCTCAATGCTGTCAGCTGTTGTAGTTTGAAATATAGGGATTGTGCTGTAATTTACTGCATTCACTGAATTCTTTGTCATATACCCTGTAGAAATCCTGTAAGAGTGAGAGCCTTCCAGAATTACTAGAATTTTTGCATTTAATGGCTCCTAAATATAAACATATAGACAAATAAACATTCTAAACAATCTAGTTAATTGTAAAAACTGTAAAAATATCTGCCTGGTCATCAAAAGGGGTGGCTCAATAGCACTTTTTCATGTCCGATACCAATCTGATACTGTCTTTTCCCCTCTCTTTTCCCCTCTCTTTAACAGCTAAGCTGTTAATAATACATTTAACTGTATGCACTTTGCTTAACCTAGCCATCTAAATAACATCATACTTAAAATTTGAAACAAATATTCTACTCCACTAAAGGTTACTGCCCTAAAAGTTATGCAATACTGCCATTTCACAGAACTTTTAGCAGCATTTTTGATTGATTAGCACAAATCAAACTTTCAGAGTGACATTTAAAGTGCAACTTTGTGAAAAGTTTCATCACTCAGTGTAGCCTATACCTTAATGACATAGCAATACACAAGTTGCAATGTAGACCACAACTTAGAATTTATGTAACTCATATAACTTATAGGAGAAATCAGCACTAAACAACACTGCAACTGCATAGGACTTTTTCACTCATTTTACTTTCCATTGTTTCAATGCTGTGTGAACGTGCATGCCTTGTTTTTTGCCATGCCATGTTTTTTGAGGGGAAGCTGAATTTAAGGACGAACTGAATCAGATGCATTTGTGTACATATTTTTGAGATGTGCCCTCAGGTTGCTAGTGCTGGAATTACATAGCTTGCGTACAACTTTATCTCGAGGTTCCACAATTTTGCTGTCTACTGACCTACTGACCTACTCCGAAGTGTTTCCAAACAGGGCTTTTTAGATTTCTCAGAGCACAAATCACTCTCTCTGGCTGAGTTGGGTCTCTCTGCCATCATTACCACATGGCTGTTGAATTAATAATAATAATGAATTATTCGCTCATTTCAGCTGGATTTACATTTCATTTTAAATCATGAAAGTGATGTTGTGTGACTCCTGTCTGTCATGCAGTGCATTTGGTGGAGCAGCCCAGGCCCATGCGAGAACTTGCGAGGCAGCCCTCGTAATGCTGCTTTTCCCACAATATATGTAATAATAATATAATAATGTTAATATTTATAATAAATTACTATAAGTTTTCACAATCTAATGCCTTTTTTTTTACAATTACATAATTATATAATAGAATTTAGAATATTCGTTGACAAGCCTAGTCACATCTCCCTCAAGGATCAGTTAAACATTTACATGATAGTTTAGGCTAGGGGATCAGATTGGATTATACTTCTTTTTATTTCTTCCAATATCCGATCCAGTGATTTTGGCCAGTATCAGACCCATACCGATACTGAGGATTGGATCAGCGCACCCCTAATTATCAACACTGTAAAACATGCTGTACATTTACAGCAGAAATCTATTCAATCTACTGGGTTCCTTAAACATAGCAGATTGCTGTAAAAAATTGTGCATTATGGGGGAAGTTGACATCTCGTATTTTACAGTAATTATTTTGTTATGTTATTTGTGGATCATATTCGGAAAGTGACTTTTAATTTGTGTGGTCTTGAGTAGCCTCTCTGTGAATGTTGTTGCACTAAAGGTGGAGTTTCTTAGCATCCCTTGTGGTTTTGTCAGTGGTTTGTTAATGAGCTTTTATCTTCTTTATCTAGTTCTTTTCACATTTTTTTAGCGTTATTCTCAACCTAAAGCCATGTTTGCATGCATTTAATGCATTTTATATATTTTGTTTTGCTTTATATACAACCCCATTTCCAAAAATGTTGGGATGCTGTGCAAAATCCAAAATAAAAACAAACTACAATGCTGTGCAAATCATTTAAACCCTATATTTCATTGAACATAGTACAAAGACAACAAATCAAATGTTGAAACTGAGAAATTTTATTGTTTTCTAAAAAATATATGCCTATTTTAAATTTGATGCCAACAACACGTTCCAAAAAAGTTTGGACGGGGGCATGTTTACCACTGTGTTTCATCATCTCTTCTTTTAATAACACTTTGTACGCGTTTGGGAACTGAGGAGACCAACTGCTGTAGTTTTGAAAGTGAAATGTTTTCCCCGTCTTGTTTGCTATAGGATTTCAGCTGCACAACAGTTCAGGGTCTCCTTTGTCGTATTTTTCATTTTATAATGTGCCAGATGTTTTCAGTGGTGACAGATCTGGACTGCAGGCAGGTCAGTTTAGCGCCCAGACTCTTTTAATACGGAGCAGTGCTGCTGCAATACATGAAGAATATTGTTTGTTATTGTCTTGCTGAAATAATCAAGGCCTTTCCTGAAAAAGACATCATCTGTATGGCAGCATATGTTGCCAAAACATGTATATATCATTCAGCATTAATGGTGCCTTCACAGATGTGCACGTCACCCATGCCATGTGCACTAATGCCCCCTATACCATCATGAATACTGGCTTTTGAACTGTGCACTTATAACAAACTGAGTGGTCTTTAGCCCAGTGGACACAGCGTCCATGATTTCCAAAAAGAATTTCAAATGTTGATTTGTCGGACCACAGGACATTTTTCCACTTCACCTCAGTCCATTTTAAATGAGCTCAGGCCCAGAGAAGGTGGCGGTGATTCTGTGTCCTGTTTATATATGGTTTCTTCTTTGCGTTTAAGAGTTTTAATTAGCATTTGTAGATGAAGCACCGAACTGTTTTCACAGACAGTGGTTTTCAAAAGTTTTTCTGAGCCCATGCAGTGACTTCCACTACAGAGTCATATCTGTTTTTAATGCAGTGCTGCCTGAGGGCCCAAAGATCATGCCAGCAAATACTGTTTTTCAGCCTTGTCCCTCACATACAGAAATTTCACCAGATTCTTTGAATCTTTTAATGTTATTATGTACCGTAGATGATGAAAAGCAAAAGTTCTTTGCTATTTTACATTGCGAAAACATTATTCTTGAATCGTTGCACTATTTGCCCACACAGTCTTTCACAGTGGTGAACCCCTCCTCATCTTTATTTCTGAAAGACTCAGCCTCTCTGAGATGCTCATTTTATACCCAATCATATTACTGACCTGCTGCCAATTAACCACCAGGTGTTTTTTAGCATTACACAATTTTACCAGCCTTTTGATGCCCCCGTCCCAACTTTTTTTGGACTGTGTTGCTGGCATCAAATACAAAATGGGCAAATATTTTTCAAAAAACAATGAAATTTCTCAGTTTCAACATTTGATATGTTGTCTCTGAAGCATTTTAAATGAAATATATGGTTTAAATGATTTGCACATAATTGCATTTTGTTTTTATATACATTTTTCACAGCATCCCAACGTTTTTGAAAATGGGGTTGTTTTTTCTTTTTTTAACCATGATGGTGTTTGTGATATTCAGTTAATAGTTCATTCTGCAGTGTTGCATTAAAACAGACATTGGGTAACTACTGGCTTTGTGATCTTAAGAAAGTGGTGTAATGTCTTGCATAAAATGTGTGTATGTACAGTTTAATGGTGTTTTAAGTAATAGTATGATCATAATAGCTCCTGAAATCCGACAAGGCCAAGGGTTCTTTTATCAGTTAACTTATGGGGAATAAAAAATGCAGCAATAACCTGTATATTTGGATTACAGCAATGTGCTGTAATTGTGAATTGCTGTCATAATTTTATAGTAAATTTTTCCAGTCCTTTTCTTTTGGTTCCCTTAAGGTCCTTTCAATAGATTTTTAGAGAGCTTTAGAGATCTTTAGAGAGCCATTTATGTAAATGAGATGTGTGGGTGTGAATAACCTTATTAAAGTTAAAAGAACCTCTACATAATGTGAAGCTTCTAGGAAGAAACTTTAAGCTGGTATAGAACCTTCACATTATGTGAAGGTTCTTTAAACCCTTACAAATCTCTGTTTCAAACAAGGTTCTTTAGGGAACAAAAAGTAGTTCTTCCAGGGCATCACTTAACTAACCCTGGTACCCTTTTTAAATTAATACAAAAATCCTGCTATTTCAATGGTTTTATGTTTTTTTTTTTCTTACAGTGCCACAATTTCTCTGTTTGAAATGTCTCATTTTTGTTCTCCTTTATTTCTTCTCATCAGATCAACAGTTTCTTGTTTTCTTCTTTAAACATCTGAAAGTCAATCAGACTGGCCGTTACCAACAGCATTTCCCCTTCGTCTCACTGTGTGGACGTGAGAGGAACTTCCTACGCTGTGATGATCTTCCAATTGTCTACACTCACTTGTTGTCTGAGTCGGGCTGTCAGGAACGTCTGTCATACTGTGGAGGCGGGTTTAAACTGACAGTTCCATTCCGACCACAATCCTTGTTCATGCATCCAGCCAGTGGTAGAGTGTACCACCCTGCTCCTGAGCATGTAGGGGGTGTTGGATTGGTACGCTCTGCACTGGCCATAGAGCTCAGCCCTCACTTTCAGTACTCTTCAGGGCAGGACAACACTTCCCAGCCTACTCATTTCCTTTGGGCCGGGCAGCAACACACACTGACCAATGAGCTATCCAAACGTTTCCTTCTGGAGTAGAAAGAAATATTAAGACAACTGTGGCAAAACTTTATTCTCAAATGCAGCATTTTGATTAACAAACTACGATAGATAAAGGGCTTGATGTGTGATTGTGTATGTGCATATTTGGTCATTATTCATATCCACATATTTATTTGAAAAACTGGGACTGTATATAGTAATGTTCTATGAGAATGAGTCTTCCATCAAGATTAGTTCATGCACAATGGATCAAAGCCTCCGCTTTGATACCACAGTCGATAACCTTGATTTAAATGGTTAAACCTTTTAAAATACTATTGAAACAAATGTATCTTGCAAACACTGCTACACATGTCTGGATCTCGAGGAAAGCCATCCTTATACAGTTATACGATCGATACCAAACTCTAGCCTGGTTTAAAAACAATAATTACCCTGAATCACCTAAGCTTGAAGTTTTATTCTACTCAGTTAATTCAGCCTAGGATTAACAAATAGGGAATGTTTGTGCATCTGTGCGTTACCAATAAACTTGCTGAACACATTTGAGAGACTTTTTCTTGCCCTCCAGTATAGCAGAGTGCATTATAGTTTCTGCTTCCACAGGTCAGAATGTCTGATGTCAAGAAATGTTTTCTATCATCTTGAGGATATTTGGTCCCCACAAATAGCTACATACGCCATATGATTAAAAGGTTTAACTTGAAGATTTAACATCATAGGCTAATTACAATCATTTGTTTGGTCACTTGGGCAATCTGTGCAAGCGGTTGTGATTACAGAAGTTAAATTCGAAAAAAGTATGTTTTCCAGTTTAAAAGTGTAGGTTTCTATGTAAAACAAAATACACACTACATCAATACAAATATTGCACTGTTGCCATTACTTGTGCTGATCATTGTTGTGGAACCGATGTAAACCAAGCAAATTCACTATTGTTGTCAGTGTGCAATCCGGAAGCCAGACAAAAACAGTCTCGCCCAATAAAGCTGTAAGTTAACCTGTAGTGGTGAATACTGAAAATGTAAGGGGCGGAGCGAGAGCTCGTACATAACAGAGAGAAGGTCAGAAGGCGAGCACGCGGTGAGGGGGGGAAGGCCGAGAACTAAAGAACTTCATGTCCCAGCAGACTTGCCTGTAGTTTTTGGAAGAGCGATAATGGCGATGCTGTTGAATGAAAAATGTGCCACTCTAGAGCGCTCTGTGTGCGAGCGGGTGTCGCCGCTGCTCACGGATCTTTACCAGTTTACTATGGCATATGCGTACTGGCGCGCGGGCAGACACAACGAACCCGCTGTGTTCGAGTTGTTTTTCAGGGATAATCCGTTCGGCGGCGGATTCTCACTTTTTGCAGGATTGAGTGACTGTTTGCTGTTTCTGAGGAACTTTCGTTTCCAAAATGAAGGTTAGTGTGCATGTGTTTTAGCACTGCGAGGCTATATAATTATCGCTAAAGTTGGCAGTAGACTGTGAGGGATAGACTGTGGGAGTTACTCGTTTCCGTATGTCATGACAGATGAAACATTGCACAATAGACGTTTACCAAACAGCTTGTTTCACATGTAGCCAACCGTCACATGGATACGAAGCAAGTTCGCCTTTGAATTGCTTTACAAATGTATGAAGAAGATGAAGTACACTTGGAAGGACTTTTGAACGTCACCCGCCACTGCTTAATTTTTTTAAGCAGTTTGCTAAGTGTAAATACAGCAAATTGTCTTACTTTCCAGTCACATTTTAACCTTTGTAGTAACTTTTAGCCTACGTCATAGAACGAAGTTCACTAGTCCAGTTAAAATGCAGACCCTCTCTCCCCCCTCACAAAGTAGAGCAAAGGTACTGAACCTTTTCATTCCAGACTGACTGAACATTCTCAAACAAACATATTTGGCAGAAACCCAAATGGCTCCACGTCGGACGTAGAGTCGACTACTGGGGTGTGAAATTATTGTTATGTATTAGGACTTTTTAAATGTACTATATAGGGGCCTAAACAAACACTTTACAGAGTCAGGCCCAAGGGGGAAACAACTTCTATGAGGCAAAACAAACAACAACAAAATCAATAGCTGGTGCAGCCCAGAGGAGAATGGGTTTCCTGTCTAAATATCTTTGGGAGGTGTCAAGAGTCACAAGATTAAACACATTACAAGAAGTGGCACATGGATCATACAGAAGAAGGTTCTGTGAGATAGGCCAGTGACTAGAAATCTTATTAAAGATGGATGTTTAATATGAGACTTGATGGGTAAAGATGCCAGTATGAGCATAAGACAGATTTACAATATTAAGGAACTGGTTAGAAATTCATGTGGGATGCAGTGTAGGGCAGTTTGTTCTAGATTAATAAGCCTTTATTAGATAGCTAGACAATGTGAGCTGAGACATACAGTCAGTGGTGTGTGGGGGATGTGTGGCACTGGATTAGTATGAGAAACATGGAAAAATCATTGGCATGTGTTAAATTTTGTTGGCGTGTGTTATATGGGTTATTGTCTGTGGGGGAAAGGTTGTTTCCTGTTGTTCATTCCAGAAGGCAGGCATTGACAACAAGAAATTGATTATTGGTAGGTAGAAAATACCTTTTATCATCCTTAAATAGTCATAGACTAATTAATGATATCTCTGAAGAATCCAGGTAAATGTTTTCATTTTAGCAGGAAAGGCATTAGTGTTTTCTACTTGTGTTAAAATGTGTTGACTGTGTACAACCTTGTAACTTTATGCAGTCTAACAGAATTTGATTAGATTCAGATTCTTTTAGACATGATTGAATATTAGATATGAGAACATGATACACTAGATGGCCAAAATGGGTGACTACACAATACTAATGATGTATGTACAAATATTCTGGAAGTTATTGGTTTTAGACCTAGGACAAGCTTTTTACCTAAGCACTGAAGAAATGTTAAGGAAGCAGACAATGTTAATGGTTTTATAAACACAAACAATCTAATTTGCATTGAGCCATCACCTCTACCTTTGTACTCTTAGAATTAGAGTTCAGAAGCATTAGTCAACTCTGTTTGCACACAGAGGAATTAGACCTCTGCATTTAACCCATCCATGCAGTGAAACACCCACATACATGCACACTAGTGAACACACACACAAGGGAGCAGTGAGCACACTTGCCCGGAGCGGTGGGCAGCCCTATCCACGGCACCCGGGAAGCAGTTGGGGGTTAGGTGCCTTGCTCAAGGGCACTTCAGTCACGTACTGACGGCCAAGGGGATCGAACCAGCGACCTTCCGGTCACAAGGCTGATTCCCTAACCTTCAGCCCACGACTGCCCTCAAAACCTCCTGTAAACCCTATAAAGGTTTTTACTAGTTTTAAAAGAAGACCTGTTGAGGAATAATTCATTTAAATATTAGAAGCTTACCTGAAAAGGATAAAATGAATCAACTGAAAGTTTTGATAGCACAGCCTGTCCAGATATATTAGTCTTAACAAAGACCTGGCTTGGACACGCCATAAGTGATGCAGATGTAGCTTTATATAACTTCACTCTAAATGGACTTGACAGAGAATCGAGAGGAGATGACTTGTATATTAGTAGAGAGTTAAAAGTCTACCCTGATTGATTTAATTATATCTAATAGAGTAGACAAAATCACCTCCTCAGGAGTGGTGATCCTGCTTTCAGTGACCATTGCCTAATTGGATGCATTATAAATAGTTACATGAAAAAAATAAGTTCTCGATTGGTGGTTAGAAGGAATTTTTAAAATTTAAATTTTTACGATTTTCTGTCTGACTTAGCAATAAGTGAAATACATACATAGTGGCTAATGCTCTCACTGCTATTAATCTGCAATAAACTACAGGTGGGGATGGTCTGGACCCCTGTTTCCAGCGTCTTGCAACCTTGATTATTATAGTATATATTACATACATTTTTAGGGGCCCAACAGAAGTGCAACAAGTGCATGGAACCGTATTGCTTTTTCAAGTATTTTTTTTCTTATTCTTTTTCTTACATAAAACTAATTGGAGAGAAGACACTGTAAGTCATCCAAACACCAAAGTTTGATGATAGGTGTAGAATTCCAGGAGCTTTATTAAATGGTTTTGCACACTATGTGCAGTGCCAAGTGTCGGCTAGGGTGGTGTAAAGCACGTTGCCACTGGACTCTGGAGCCATGGAAATTTATTCTCCGCAGTGATGAATCATACTCCATTATCTGGCATGAAAGATGGACGAATTTGAGTTTGGTGGATACCAGCAGAACACTACCTACCGAAAGGCATAGTGCCACCAGTAAAGTTTGGTGGAGGAAGGACAGTGGTCTGAGGCTGTTTTTCAGGGTTAGGCCCCTTAGTTTCAGTAAAGTGTACTGTTAATACTTAGAAAATTATGTGCTTCCAACTTTATGACTACAGTTTTGGGAAAGCCCTTTCCTGTTCCACCATGACTGTGACCCTGTGCACAAAGCCGGGTGCATAGAGACATGTTTTGACGAGTGGCCTCCAGTGGCCTGCAGAAAGCCCTGACTTCAACCCTGTTGAAGACCTTTGGTATGTATTGGAACATTGATTGCAAACCAGGCCTTCTCGTCCAACATTGGTCTCTGACCTCACAAATGCCCTTTTGACTGAATAGGCATAGATTCCCACAGAAGAATGGTGGATGTTATAGCCGCAAAGGGTGGCCAATGGTTTTGGAATGGGGTGTTCCACAAGCTCATATAGATGTGAAAGTGAGGTATCCACAAGACCATATAGTGTAAATAATGAATTCAGTATGAGTGTAAGGCAGGATCAACCCTTCAACCTTCCAGAAACAAGTTCATGTAGGAATGGGTAGTCACCAGCTAGACTGTTTGCTAATGTAAGTGTATATTAGATAATTAAAATATATATGAAGTATTACTTACCATTGAAGTTCCAAGAGTTTCAAAATTTGTGTGTGTGTGTGGGTTATACAGATGTAGAGTATTTGCGCTCAGTGCTCCCCTCGGACACAGACCCAGACTTCTTCACCTACCTGAAAGGATTAGACTGCTCTGCTGTCTCCATCAGTGCTGTATCTGAGGGCACTGTTGTCTTTGCCAGGGTACGTACAGTCATAACAATACTTCTCAATTACCTCTAATGATGAGGTGTAGAGGAAGAGGATTATGTGTTGTGTCTTGTGTTTAGGTCCCTTTTTTGGAGGTTTCTGGACCTCTCGCCATTGTTCAGTTGCTAGAAACCAGCCTGCTCTGTCTGGTCAATTATGCAAGGTATATTTTACACACTTGTTTCAACTAATTTATGCATACTCTTATTCATAAATTGCCTTCATTGTTGTGTAGTGATCATGCAGGATGATGTCCTGATAAAACAGAATCGTATGTAAACAGGTTTAGCCTTTAGCCGGTTGTAGTCAATCAGCAAAGACCTGTTTGGTGTCAAAAGTTAGCTATAAAAATTGAAAAAATCTTCAAGACGGCTGTTACTCTTGTTCTGCAGTGTACTTTTGTCCAATTTTCTAGATAGCAGTGTATTATACATTGTCAGAAACCTCTTAGCTCCAGTGTAAAACTAAAGTGGCAA